ATTAATCTTAACTACAAATGCCTAACTCAAAACAATATCTGATTTCAGTGTACACATGGAATGTATACAAAAGTGAAATCCAAGAAGTGCGTTTCATTCCATTTCGAATTCATTGGCTGGATGTACTTTCATTTCAGTTAGCGTTCATTTCGGTACCTGACTCACTCACTTGGGTCATGGGTATGAATTTTAACTTGATTTGAATTATTCCGTTGTGGATATTTTCATTGACTTCTGTTGTGAAAGCTGCTGGATCCGAGTCCCGGATTAAACATAAAGTGTGGGGTTAGGGCACATTCAGTTGATATGCCCTAAACAGGACGAAACGCGTATCCTCTATTCCACTATTAGCCGCATTCTATTTATCTTGTATAAACTTGCGCCGTAATGGTCATCCTGAGGCAAACCGCATAGGATGGACATTTAACAACGAAGTCAAAATATGAACAACAGGATAACGCAACAGTTTAGAGTTAAAGCAATTTTACTGTAATTTAAATTCATACATATTGGTTGTTTGAATCTTCCTATGTTGTGTTCGGATTTCTACCGATCAGTCTCTTTTGACATATACCCACCCTGCCTGAGTATTGCCAAGCATTTTAAACAGAGATGGTTAGTGTCTAGAAGTGTAATCTAAGATGAGCATTTCTTCTTGCTAGGAAATCCTCAACTGAAGTTACCTGCATCTCAGAGTTTCTGTAAACTCCGGGACTCGAACCCAGCATCTTTCGCTTTAAATGCTATCACACTATTCACCTAGCTACTGAATCCGGGGTAAAAACTTGATTGTGCAATTGCGTGAACTGAGATTTTGATTGATATACATAATGGTTGTTTGGAAATTCCCATTGATGTTTAAGACTGCGATTGATCAGCCACTTTTAGGCTTGCTAACGATGAGTTTGAAACGAAAGGTGCTGGGTTCAAATCCACAGAGTGGATGTCAACTCGGATGTAGGCACGTCTAGGTGACGAGTCCCAAATAGGACGAAAGGCGCTTCCTAAATTGAAATGCTAACCAACACCCATGTCTGTTCGTAATCATACTGTAGTTTGAGATTTACAAAAAATAAACAAGATTTCCTGGTCAACTCAACAGGACCACACATGTTGTTCCCATTATTTACTAATAATCACCAAATTCAAATGTAATCATCCATAATTATATTTCCAACTCTGCTGATAGGATTCAACAATCTTTAGATAGTAACTGACTTGGTTTGAGTTACTTTTTTGTTTTTGAAAAATACTGATATGAATGTCTTTACCACTTACTAACAGTACGATAAATCAACGTTTATTGAACTTATCTAAATATGATCTTTTAAGAGATTTCAATAAATTATTGCCAAATAAAATTAAGTACTTGGTTCACATTGAGATTTTCTCATCGGCAAATTAAAGATATGGAATTTTTGTTAGGTAATTAACTATTTGTCCAGAATATAACAGAATGAATTATACTAATTTTCAGAAGTACTTACTTACTTACGCCTGTTACTCCCAATGGAGCATAGGCCGCCGACCAGCATTCTACAACCCACTCTACAATGGGCCTTCTTTTCTAGTTCTATCCATTTTTTGTTCATTCTTCTCATGTCTCTCTCCATTTCTCGGCGTAATGTGTTCTTTAGTCTTCCTCTTCTCCTTTGACCTTCAGGATTCCATGTGAGGGCTTGTCTCGTGACACAATTGGGTGATTTCCCCAAAGTGTGCCCAATCCACTTCCAGTGCTTCTTCCTGATTTCTTCCTCCGCTCGAATCTGGTTGTTCTTTCCCACAGTAGAATGTTGCTGATAGTGTCTGGCCATCGGATCCGAAGTATCTTGCGTAGACAACTGTTAATAAACACTTGTATCTTCTGGGTGATGGCTTTCGTAATTCTCCAAGTCTCCGCCCCATACAGTAGAACTGTCTTGACATTTGTATTGAAAATTCTAACCTTGGTGTTGGTTGACAATTGTTTTGAGTTCCAGATGTTCTTCAGTTGTAAATATGCTGCTCTTGCTTTGCCGATCCTCGCCCTCACATCTGCATCTGATCCATCGTGTTCATCAATGATGCTGCCCAGATACGTATAGGTTTCCACATCCACCAAAGCTTCTCCGTCAAGTGTAATTTGATTGGTGCATGTTGCATTGTATTGGAGAGTCTTGCTTTTCCCTTTGTTTATATTGAGGTCTACTGCTACTGAGGCTGCTCCTAAACTGGTCGTTTTCTCCTCCGTTTGTTGTTGCGTGTGTGATAGAAGAGTCAGGTCATCTGAAAAGTCTAAATCGTCTAGCTGCATCCTACTTGTCCACTGTATCCTGTACTTTCCTCCAGATGTTGACGTCTTCATGATCCAGTCGATCACCAGGAGAAAGAGAAAGGGTGAGAGTAAGCAACCTTGCCTAATTTCCAGAAGTACTTACATTTAAATAACGAACTACTTACGAGTCTTTAACTAGAATGAAGCCTTTATTAACATTCTTTACATAATATGGATATATACAAACCCTTTAATTGAACAATAAGTTTTCAGGCAGATAATATGAAATCCTATTGAGAAGTCTTGACCTATGCAATTTAGAATAGTAAGTGAATATGACTGCCATTGCTTGTACTATGTCACAAAAAAATAATGCCAGAGAATATACACACTCAAATTTTATAACATTAGATGGCTGAAATACTACCCACTGGAAGATGAGTAGACTTTAGATTTAATCTTCTGTCCAATTAAAAAAAGATCATTATTGATGAATTCAAGGTATAGGAAACTATTAGAAATCTAGTTCCACTGAGCCGGTATCCAACGGTGTTAATGTCTAACTTCAATCAATCCACAAAATTGAGCAACCGTCCACCATTGTCTTCAGTGAGTTACTATCTCACAACAGACCTAGTTGAACTCCACTAGTCACTGTTTCTTACTAGAAGATAATGGTGGACGGTTGCTCAATTTCGTAAATTAGTTAGACACTAACACCGTTAGATGACGGCTCAGTAGTTCTAGAGGTTAAACGCTCGCGCACGAGACTGATAGGCCCTGTACTCAATCCTCGCGAGGTGGGATCATGGATACACATTGCTGAGGAGTCCCATAATAGGATGAAACGGCCGTCCAATGCTTCCAGGTTTTTCATGGTGGTCTAGCTTCAACTGACTCATCAATTCAACTATAAAATCTCCACAAAAAAATCGTTCTGATAGAAATCTAGTTTTTTTTATATTTAATTTCTTATATTATATCAACTTTCAATAATTAAAACATAATTTCAAATGAAAAGTTCTATAAACTATTTTTTAGATGGATTTTTCTATTATTCATATGAATAATTGTATAATAGTGTATATAGATTAGTTGATTTATGAAAGACTATAATTGACCTTAGATATAATTAAATACACACCCTACAACTAGTTAAAATCTTTTTCAGGACAAACCATATGGCTAAATAAATACAAAAGAAGAAAAATTAAGTTTATTCAATAAAAAAAATTACATAATCAATTAGCTTAGTAACACAACTTCAATTAATCAGTTAGCAACTATTATCAAAGTTTGATTTGATAATTTTGAATAGATTGAACAATAGATATATATATATATATATTCCAAGTCTATCATCAATAGTGCTATGGTAGAACAGGAGATTAAAAATGATTCTTTATATTATACAAAATTAAACTTTACCATTAAACAACTACTCATCTATGCTGCTACTTTGACGTGGTGGTCGGGCTTGAGTATCGTGATGAACAAATCGAGCTATACTGGCTGGAACAATCGTTACTCAAGGTCCTACCATGCCAGACAGGTCGATTGAAGAGCGGTGAGACTAAAAGCAGCAAACCCAAGGTCCGAAGGCGAAGTCGTACTGTTGACTGTACAGAGGTGTGACAGCAGTAAGGTGTTTCCTTCAGACAACCAGCATAACAGTGATGCTGCCTTCCCACAAGGAGGGGTGGGGTTAGAAAAGGTTGACCCTAGAAATGCACACCTCGCCTTATCTCACGGATATCCGTCTCCGGCGGTAAGGTCCAAACAAGTACGGAGCTAACACAAAAACTACCCACAAAAAGGTCGTGTGTGACCGACCACAAGCTGTTGTCCATTGGGCACTGCGGCCGCATTCTCAAGTCACTAAGACCACTTCTAATCCAATTTCGTTTTCAGGTATCTCTAGAAGAACCCTTCCACTGTGTGGGCAACCGGGAAGTGATATCTGCCCTCATACCGCTAACAGCACTCAAGACCACTGTATTCATATTCGTCCAAATATTCATACTTAACGCCGTTCTTAAGACATAGCATTGAATGAAACAAATTCAGTTTAATTTGGTACATCATATAAGCTATTTTCTGTTCACATATCATAAGTAATACAATGAAGTAACTTGAAAAGAGTTAAATCGAATCCTATAAAGAGCCTGAGATTTTATACATAACGTATTCCCTAGATTACTTATTACATATACAATCTTCATCTTCTTATAAGTTTGTATTGTTACACTCTTTGCTTGATCAGTTTTTGTTCTTTTGATCAAATATGTCACCAACTACCATACATTCGATTGAACGCAATACTTTCAAATTTCTCAAAGAGCACTACACACATATTTAGACCATTGATTTAAAATCCAGTAATCCTTATGTCCAACTTTAGTACAATTACAGTGTGAAATATATATTTTTGTGAATCTTCGTGAGAAGACTACCCAGGTTTTTTCTCTCCTTATGGTATCTAGTTTTTGAGATAAACTAACTTTGACCTTTATTACAAGAATTACTCTTCAGTATTCTACAGCATTTAATTGACTTTCTATTTTGAATAAGGACTAATTCACTACTATAGTTCTCTTCATAGTTTAGAAGAGGAAGTAAGTTTTACTATAATTATTTTCATACATGATTACCGAGAAGGATTTTGAACAGTTATTGTACATCATAAAAAGAAGTCGATCCTTTTCTTTTTGAATACTACTGACCACTTTTAATAATAATAATAATAATAATAATAATAATAATAATAACAGACACAAAATGTGATGTTTAAAAAATAGAACAGCTCGTGAATGCATAAATTCACCACGGAAACTACGTTCATATTTATACCAACAATCATTAAGAGAGAAGGTTAAATGAAAGGGGTATGATAAGATAATTAAGCTGAATCCAGACAAAGTTTCCAATAGTAAACATTGAAGACAATCATAGTGTTATTCAACTTTTAACCAAATCTCTGCATTACCATCTTCATTAGTTGTCAAGGATGGATCGTATATAATCCAATAATATGGTTCTGGCAAATAGTTAAAATTTCCTTCTGATAATTGTTCAATAAAATCTTTTGTTTCATCCATAAATTCATCTTGTTTAATAGATTTTAAATGAAAACGTCTACGTGTATTCAAAAGAATTCAAGATGTAAATAGTTTAAGTAAAGAAAATATATATGAATTAAGTCATTAAACAATGTTTACTGTAAATAATGTGAGAAGAGCGATTTTTGTATTTAAACAGAAGAATATTGGTACAAGGAAGCATCAGATACATATGCGCCGTACAAATCTCTCACATGTGATACTGCCCAGGTGCCCAAACCAAAGCAGGTGGTTTCCTTAGGTGGCCACACCCGGAGCATTTGACCTCAAAATCTGATCCACAAGGCAGTAGAGCATCGTGAGGAGATGCAGTTCCATGGTAGCCGGTGATCAACGGTTGATTCGTACGCCATTTGTTCCCTCAGGATACTGGAGCCCATGTGCACCATTGGTTTGGAATCAGGGTTTTCCAACTCCCTTAGATGGACTTTCCGTGTTTACCAACCCGGTTAAAGCGCCGGGTATTCGCTTTTCGTCCTCTCAATTTCGTAGACAATACCCTCGGCACGAGAAGGCAGTGAGTAGGACTTCCCTGACAGAGGCTATATACGCGTGGCCATGTGAGAGCATTTCGAGAGGTAGAGCGGACTCTGCCTACTCTCGACCGTACCAGGGCATTTTGGGGACGAGAAGAGCGAAATCTACAGCATAACATGAATTCATTACACTTCAAGGTTAAACATTGGTTACCAAGACCTAAAGTTGCCTTAGTCATATTTATGAACTGAAATCAATGAAATTTAGTTTGTAATGACATGCAAAATACCAAGAGGAAACAACATATTCTATATGAAATAGTTAAACTTGATTAATATTTCATTTGTTGAAGATGAAATCATCAAAAGGAGAAGGGGATTGAAGTTGTAGATGATGACAAAACGGACATTGAGTGAAAAACAAATAAGCAATAATCAAGCCACTTAGCTGACATAAAATTAAAGTTAACATCGTAACTGAACGTCAACAACAAAAAAATTACGTAATTGACAAGAGCTAAAATAATATAACTATTTGACCATGTCAATGAGAGGTCTATCACACTTTCATTCTTTGTACCAAGGTTAGGTTGAAAGCACTTGATGAAAATGGACTCTGTAAAGCTTAGTAATTAATTGTTTCAAATTCCTTTATGATATCCATGTCGTGTCTATTATCCATTAAATGTCGAGTGACGTTAGTAATGCTATTTACTGTCCTTACTTCTTATGTCTCTTCGAACTAAATTTTATTGATTATGGTACATAAAAATATTATCAATGTAACTGTAGATCGTTTGCAGATGATGATAAATCTTGATGTATAATGAATTCATGTTATGCGGTAAATCTTCTCTTCTCTTCAACCCGATCTTCTTGGCCTTCTGCTGCCAACCATTCAATTTTTGATTGGTGTTACATACTACTTATATCGACACACATAAGGAGAACATCATGCATGTACAGGCATGGGTACTATACAATCGTATTATAGGACTATGTGTTCAAAATTTGTTTCAACTGGTATGATGCAAGTAATTTATCCACGGACATTGGGTTTATTACACACAGAATGTACTAATAATAAACATGAAAATCTTACTTTATATAAACAGAGAAATTAGACCATTCGCTTTGGAAAATATGAGGTGATTCATTATACACTTTCTTGCTAATCTGATCATCTGTTACATGCCGAAGTACCGTGAATAATGATTCGCAAGCAGGTCCTCCACTTGGTCTGATTTCAACAACAGTTGGATATTTATTGCAGTCTTTTGAGCCTAATTAAAAAACCGTAAACAAAAAACCATTCAAAATAAAGTCACTCAAGTCAAGTTTAAAACAATCGCAACAAATTAAGTCTACTAAATATACTGCTTTTGCCTTACTTTTGATTTTTCTGGTTTCTCCATTTTTATGACGACTAATACAATTAAGCATAACGTATAGTTTCAACCAAAGTGAATTTTTATACATTCATGTGGTCATTTAAAGATACTGTGTTATGTCGAGACAAAGCAGACTGCTTGCTTAAGTTTTATTGTATGACTGAGCTTCAGTTTGATTAACTACTTAAACTATTAGTTGAATTGACAACCTATTTACCAGTTGGCACACCGATCAGTGAACATCAACCAAGACTAAAGCTTATTGGTCCTCAAGGTCCTTCTAACCCAGTGATCAACCATAAAACGAAGATAGAAAACATACCAGTCCTCTATTGTACTTATTTCAGTCATGAGTCAAAACCAATTTAATAATAAGTTTGAAATATCTAACCACAAGGCGACACAACTAACAAATTACCATGTGTACATAGCTTAGCGATACAAAACTAGAGTAACAAGTAAATAATTAACTAGGGAAAAACCTGGAACAATAGGGCATATGAAAAGTTCACAAGTCAAAAACCCATCGACAATCTTTAAATTGGTTTTGTTTTTGGTTTAGATACTCTAACACACTTATCACAATATCCTAATGAAAAACAAAGTGAATGTAATGGTTCTGAAATAGATAAGTTATCTTTTAGATATATCTCTCTTAAATGAATATCACAAAAAACAACAAAACGTATGATAATAGCTTTAAAATGCATTCTAATGTATAAGAATGAAGCAAAACACCAAAACCAAAATATTTTACACATAAAACATGACAAATTACCAAATTTTTCGGCGAAAATAACTTCAGCTTGTTCCATAATTTCATCAAATGTCATACTCTCATTTTTGTAACTCATCCACTCACTCGTCCGAACAGATCCCTTTTTGACTTTCTGCCAATTCATTTAATTTTCATACTTAACTTACCCCGGATTCGTAGGACTCTAATACATCGTACAAAGTGCTGGACATCTTTCAGCAACGCTATTTTAATATATCTGCAAAAGATATGTGTTATATATACGGGATCAGTCGTGATTGAAGTGTAAGAAACTAGGAAGTACCAAAATATCTAGAGTGTATCGTATGCTGATAATTACGCTACACAACTTTTGCTTGATTAAACGAATGTGCTCATATTTAAACTCACCTTAAAAATGAATACGATCCAGTTGTAATCATTACGTCTTACTCGTCTTCATTATTTGTATTTTTATTCAAAAAGAACTTTTAACATGTTAAAATGGACGTCATTTGCGTAGGTTATAAAACAACTCATCAAGAGTAGTCTCTTCAGGCAAAAACAAAGGTTTTTCAACTATTATTCTGCCCACGACTTTCATTACAAAAGGAAAGAGGATGTAATATATTTTGAGTTTTCTAAAGTTTTCCATAGAGTCTACGATATACGTCTTATCAGTAAGCTTAACACGAAAGATAGGTTACCATTGATAGACCAGATTGAATATCCAAATAGTCAAATATTTAGGGTTAGGGTAGGGTTCTACATTTTCCCAAGCTACAGAAAGCACCAGTGGGGTCCTGAACAGTGACACGAAAAATGTTCCTAATGGTCTCATTGGCCTAAGAACTAGTCAATCAACAGTCATAAAAATAAATCTCGTCGTAACTACCCGCCAAATAGATTAGGGCTTTTCTAGCTACACGTTTCCAGAACCGGTGGTAAATTTGTAGTAAAATGACTAGTACACCATATCAAACTATGGGACTATAAGCCAAAGCTATGGGGTAGCATGAGTTAGCTACCATTCCTATTACAGTGTGAAAACGATTCCAGCTGAGATATTTCGTAAACTATACATACATATTAGACAATATTGCTTTCTCGAAGAGTCGTAGGGTTGACAAATAGCTAGAAATTTTAATATATTATGTTCTGTAGTCCTAAACAAACTGGAATAAAAAGGCCTTTCTAGCAAACCTTGGGAAGCGAAAGTTCAAAGTCATCTTAATCCGGTTTTTTAGCGGAACTTGCCGTCTAATTTCTAAGTTTAACTAGACCTCATTTAGTGTACGAAAATATAGTGTTCGCTACTTCTCTCCGAAAGAACAAAGGCAATTTACCTGTGACCTCGATTTGATATGGAACCAAAATGAATAAATAGGGTATTATAGAAATAAAAATGTGAAACCGAAGCAGCTGCTGCAATGAACTTTAGTTTACAATCCATATCGTTTAGAACCATAGATTAACGGTATCTTTACCATCGAATGAATGTTTACAAAGACATACCGTTAATACATTTAACGCACTTCGAATGCCTTGGAAGTTAATGATCCTATGACCACATCATTATATTTTCTTACCGCTGTCGATGAAAACTAGAAGTGTCCGCCTGGTTCAAGGTCAGATGAGTTTTCGCTGGTGCATATATAAACCAAAAATAAATTGGATATTATATTCGTAAGGCAATACTCTATACGGCATGGTCGAAAAGTCATGTCATTGATTCTCGCTTATGTGTTACATGTTGTCGCGGATTTCTAACGTCGTTTTTTGTCGGCTAATCACAGTATTTTCCCGTCGCATGTTAATTTTTGTAATATTTATGCGTTTTTCATGGAGTTTATTGCAGTCTATTGGTTGCCTGACGTATTTGGAGCTGACAACCTGGATGAATGTTTAGTCAGCCTAACTTGGTAATTTGTAACAACGCAAACTCAGGCAAGTGAATTTCATCGTTTATCAAGTCAAAAATACACCAAAATTACAGTTTCAAGCAAAAACAAGCTGTAGAATAATTTACATATGACTTACCTCCCTTATTATGGTAGTGACCCAAACAACCAATAAAGCGGAAATAAAAGCGAAAAAAGGGGAAAGAAAGCGGACGAAAGCGTAAATAAAGGGGAAATGTCGCTTTTTCGCCTGCACGTGAGGGACAGATTTGTAAGCACACAACATGATTTTTATCCTTCATTCCTATTACAGATGGCCATGTTGACGCGTTTAATGAATGATGATCCTAAAACCTCCATGCGATATCTTCTGTCCTACATCATGGAACCTGAAGTCGCCATTAATTTCACGTTACTTGGTACTTCATCAAAACGAGCGATTCAGAAGTGCCGGTTTTATGGCTGCGTACGAAGTAAGATAAATAAGGTTTTTAAACTTCAGGTGCACTTACTAATCGATCCCTGTCGTCATCTGTCATTGAGAAAGACCTTGTGAAACTATATGACATGGCTACACAAAGTTATTTTCACGACATGAGAGACAAAGTACAGAAGCGTCATCGACGGAAGAAAGAACACGTACGTACGACTTTAAAGTGATTATTGTTTTCCCGTTATCTATAGGTAGAGTCTTCCGTGTTTAAGGATATAACCGTAAGTTCAGCTTCAAGTACCTTGTTGTGCAAAACAAATTTCCTAGATATAGTAACGTTCTTCTTCATTACATTTTAGAATTCAAAAGAATTATTTGAGTCTCCATAGTTCAAAAGGCCTGATGGAAAGAAACAAACGTGAAATATCTGGTCCGTGACAATTACAATTACATCAGGAACATTGATGCTCTACCATCTGCCAAGTGCTCATGACGTTGTACAATAATAAGCTTTTTGTTTTCAATAAAAATTTGGAACTTATACCATATATTACGTACATTACATTATTCGTGTGCTATGTTGTGTGAATGAAGGTGAACACAGGAGGCGGTTGGGGTAAATACAGAAGCGTTTTAAAAGTGGGCGCTTAATTACATCGGTGTGCATGTAGTAGAAAAGTAGACAATTCGTCGGATATTTAGGGTGCAAATCGGAAATTCGTCGAATATTTAAGGTAAAAGTCGGCAATTTAGCGACATTTGAAAAACAGAGCGACAGAAAGGGGAAATTTCGCTTTATTTCCCCTTTATTGGTTGTATGGGGATGAACGTGGTTGTTAGTAGTTGTTTATAAATTGTAATTGATAGTCAAACTATTCATGAATCTTGTAATGGTAATAATAATCATTCCATGCGACGTTCCTAATGGAAGTTTGTTTTTCTATAGCAGGGCAACAAAGAGTAAATGCACTGGAAATAGAGGAAGAAGCCCTACGCTATCTGAACGAGCAGAACAATGAATAAAACTATTCTGTAGAAAGTTTCCCCTTTTGCACTCAACCGTGTCTTTCAATTTTAAAAATATGTTGTACCAGTACATTGTGTTCTTACTTTGACGGCACTTACCGGTCCTCACTGTAGTGTTGTTGTTTCAGATCGCTCCTGCTTCAAAGTGGACGTCAATATATAACGTGCTACATTACGATATGAACTATTAATATACAGCCGTAAACAGTTTAATCCATGATAAGTATCATCGTTGTTAACTGGACTGATATGTTATTACGTAATGTGAGAAAAAAATATGTTAGTAACAATTGGCGTTGATAGATTTTTCTGTCCGCTTTCTGAATTTATACAGAAATTGTGTAGAACATTACTGTAAGTGTCACATAAATTAGCCAAATACTCTTCTTAAGTAAAGCGATGCGTGTTTGTTATGAGCATGGTAACTAAAACATGTTGTAGAAAATACTATTTTACGATGTCTCGTATAGGGTTAAAATATAAATTTCTGCTAACAGAATCCGAAATCACTGACTAAATCATAAACAAAGTGTTAATGCATGTTGACGGGTAATCGCTAAATAGTGGTTACCAGTTATTTCATTATTGTATGTAAACAGTATTATGAACGGTGTAATTGGATTTTTCTCAAATATCATATAACTAATTAAAGTTTGTGAGTCCCTTCGTTTGTTTTTTAATACCGAATAACTAGATGAAATTGTAGGAAGGTTAGAAAATGAAGAGCACTGTTTACAGCAAGTAAAACACTTACAGGTACATCCTATCAATTGCTATTTCATTTACTTATGGAACTTGATACTGATAACGAAGTTTAATCTTTTCTTTCACGATTGATTTGTTGTTTTTCAGAATTGCATTGAGCAAGCTATCCATACATCTTGTTATACAACTTATGACTTCTGTCAACTAATTGAAAGGCTCAAATCTTTGTAATAATCAAGTCTATGCAGGTGAACAATTTGGCGAATTTCTTAATATGGAAGTTTATGCGGAGAAACAATTCACACATTGACGATAACTGTGTTTTGTATTGACCACTACCGCGTCTATTCATCTAATACGTTATCTAAATATAATATAAATATAACAACTGTAGTTTTTCGCACTTTAAATCTTTTCAGTATGTGTATAGTCTAGTTAGGTACTAATACTACTTTCATAATAGACGTTGTCCGATAACGGTAAATTTATCGTTTGATTGCCTAGTCTGTAAGATCTTAAGTGAAAATCGCATCACTATCTACACTGACCCATCGTATCGCGACAAATAACAATACACATTTATGCTTGGGATAGAATATATTTAATGTGAATATAAATAAGTTAAACATAATGAGCGCGTCTGCAACACTGACTCATGCCATTCGATTGAATGAATATCTCCACGTTCACCACTTCCGACCTTCTCCAAGTGTTACATCCTTTTAGTTATTATATGCTTGATTCCGGAGACCATGTGATTAGGAAACAATGCCACTCCAATTATTCATCCGAATATACTGATCGTAAATAGGACTGCAGGAAGAGAAATGGCAATCTTACCTAATTATTGATTTTTAAGTGACAATTGTCTACTTTTTTCTCCACCACCATGGCGAAGTGTTCACCATATTTTTCAACTATCTGTTGCTTATGAACTTTCTGGCTTCTTTGGATTCGTATATACTCTTCACTCCGTCTGGGTAATGATGTTGTATTATAATGGAAGTTATGCGTGCTATTTAACTTCCATCGGCTGCATGGTCTAAGTATGTGATGAGCTAATTAGTTTATTTCGTAGTTGATTAAACTTACCTGTAAGAGTTGGTCTTTTTACATATGTCAGTATTATATGACGTCAGGGATATCGACAAGCCATAAATGTTCGACAATTACACTCGCAAGTGCCTGCATCTAGTTCATAACACCACAAAACTGTATTTAAATCGCACGTCCTTTAGCAGTTTACTTTCGCCGTGAATGTTATGTGCACGGGTGGTCTGAAAAGGGATGGAATTATGCATCCATACTTTTTGGAACTCCTTAAACACACCATAGAATTCAATCCAGTTTCCAAAACGCCTGCTCAGTATTATGCATTGAAACGCTTCACTTAAGTCGATCGAAATGTTTCTGGAACATAAATTACCACAAACATTACTCGTTAATTACTGAAAAAACAGCCATTTCGTGCGATAATACTCCAGTAACTGAAGAAAGGACTACAAGCATTTAGGATTTACGGGTTACTCGTCATGTCGTCTTACTTCTTGCAGAAAACAAGGATTCACACAAATTCATAGTATCTTTAACTGATAATTTATAATGAATACGCAGTTTTGCGGACCCCAACGAATTTTAAACAAGGAGAGTGAGGTTCAGTAGGGTAATTGGTATCCCAGGTCAAGTTACGTAGCAACAAAAGAGTCAAATTGTACACTACAAAACACAGTAAGCACAATAAACGCTTTTGGCATTGATTTTGTGAATTTGCTACAGCCAAAAATGATGCAAATACAAGAAAACCAGATATTCGTGCAACCCAGAGGACAACCAACCGACCCACAACAAATCAAATACGGAATGACCGCCTCGTGTCAGGCCGTTCAAGGTCGCAAAAAGGAAACGGCGGGCAGGTTTGAAAACGCACTGACTTATTTACCTTGCCCTCTATACTGGACAAATATTATGGATTTCTCTGATACAGAAAAAACTAGTATAAGGATTTTGGTGTTGTTAACCTAATGTTTTGATTGTAGAAGAGTCCTCATAAGTTTTGACTAGTCTGATTGAATTAGTTCCAGTTTATTTGATAGTTACTCGGTAAATAATAAAATCTAAAGGAAGAATTGTGGTTTCTGGACTGTAACTGTTTTGATCATGGTCTTGTAAAGATTCTTACTACCAAAGTACTTAACGGAAGGACAGTTTGGACATCAGCTTTTTAAATTTTCAGGATGTTTGAGTTTGATCTGAAATTAAAATATTTGTGTGGGGAGGTTTTGAGATGGAATAAAGGCGGTAGATTTCAGATTGGCGAAATGAGTTTCACAGAGTGAGAAAGCTATCGTCATCAGCAGATCTAATATAGACATCACCTAATCTCTCAATACTGAATGCAAACCATCTTCGTAAGGCCTCAGACATGCTAAAACAGCATTACTGATGTGTATATCTAGGTTAGTCATTTGCTTCACTAATGAGCGATTTCAGAAACTCAATGAAGGTTATAATTCAAAAGACTACTCCGTCGTCGACAAAAGAACGTTCATGAATAATGGTAATAACATAGGGAA